GGAAGTGGATCTCTAGATGACGTGGCATCTCCATTAGTCCTCATCCCTGAAGGTTTTAGAGGAAAAGATTCTTCGGTACAGAGATGAGCAAAGGCCAGAGGCGCGACCATTTGGTGAAGGAAGCCAGGGCCAGTGTGCTTAGGACAAAGTGCCAAGGGGAGCCCTGTGGGACATGAGGCTGGAAAACTGGATGCAGGGAAGGTCACAGAAGTCATTGACTTCCTGGGCTGAGGAACTTGGAACGGATGCTGCAGGCAGTGAAGTGGTGGAATGTCCCCGAGTGAGGGTGGCACGGCATGCAAGGCTTCTGCCACATTTTTATGTCCATAAAATAACGTGTGGTTTTGATATAGGACAACATCCAGGTGGTTCTGAAAGAAGTCATGAAGAAAATCACGGAAGATCAGAAAGGCTTTCCTTGTTCGGATTGCTGTCATGGGCTGTCTGGAGCATAAAGGAAAGGTAGCAGCGCAGAGGAAGGACTGAGGCCGCCCACAAGTGACACCCCCAGAGAAGACCCCGTGCCAGAGGAGACTGGAAGCGGAGGGAGGGGAGAGGAGAATGCAAAGCTTTCCGGGCACAGGCAGGCAGATCTCTTCCTCCATTCAGTGCACAGGTATTGCATGACGGCACTCGCGGCTCTCTGTGCGAGCTGGGAGTGGGCAGAGCAAGGAGATGCTGCTGTGCCTGCCCGAGATCTGAGAGGGACAGACATGCAAGCCAACAGTTCGGATGCAATGAGGTCATTGCAACAGTGAAGGCTAGCAGAAGGCGGGAATCTCAGCAGGAGTGTCTGTGTCTGCCTGGGGGAATCAAGGGGGGCTTCACAGGTGAGGCAGCACCACTGTGGCAACTTGAGGGATGAGTAGGAGTTCTTCCAGAGAGACAGCAAGAAGAGGGCAGGCCAGGCAAAGACAGGACAGGGAGGAGGAGGGCGGGGAGGGGGGAGGAAAGACATCAACCTGTGAGAGAACATGGTGGGTTCCCAGAAAAGCGAGCTCTCCACTGTGGCTGGCCGGGGGCCCGTGAGTGTGGCAGTCCTCGGAGATGAGTCTGGGTGGGCTGCTACGCAGGGGCCTGATCACAAATGGCCTCATGGGTCACACTCGAGACCTAACATTCATTCTGGCGCAGTTTGGAACAGCAGTGTAACGGGGACGCTTTGTGTGCCGAAATGCTCACTCAGCAGGGAGACCTTTGAAAGATCCCAGCCCCACTGCAGGAGCTGGAAGTGACCAGGGAGCTCCAAGAGATACCTGGGGTCCTCACGTAAGTGCTTCTTAACAGGGTGAGTTCTCCCCCCCGGGGGACATTGGGCAATGCCTGGAGGTATCAGGCATTGGGTTATCACACCTTGGGGAGGGGGGGAGGGCTGCTACAGGCATGTAGTGACTAGAGCCCAGGGATGATGCTCAACATCCTATAATGCACAGGACAGGCCTCGAAACAAAGACTCGCTCAGNTCTAGCCAGAAAGCGATGTTTTGCCTGAAATGGAGCAGGGCAAGAGAATTGCAACTTTGCATACTGGGAGTCTGTAAAGGGCAAAAAAGAGAACATAAATCATGAACTGCCTGGCCTTGCAAAAAACTCTTTGCTCTCAAAGAGTTATTGCAGCGCTGTTGTGCCACAGGGCAAATGACTGCAAGTTCTCCAGCAATGCTAAACTTCAGTTAAACCAATCGTGATACTGAGTATCATTCTAATCACCTAAAAAAAAAATCAGAGCTGACTTGAGGATGAACACATAAAGATTTAAAGGAAAGCATGAATAGGCTTCAACTTAATGTTTGCCAAATGCCGCCAAGACGCTCAATTTTGCAACAGTGGTTTAAAACTTGGGAGGACTTTGTGCTATGAATGCATTTATTTTTGCTATTTGTGCTCCGAATGAAGATTGAGTCAGCACACAAGACCTACTTAAGTCCATCATGTGGGTGGGATACTGGAGATTGGCAATGCAATGCAAAATATAGCAGCAACGAATGACATCACCATGAGTGTACTGTATTTCATGTACACTGTGAATTAAATACATTGTTGTGGGCTCAACTGAATACTCAACCATCCTTCCGAAGTGTGTTTCTATTCTTAGCCTCCTCTGATTTCATGTGGAATTTGGGAAACGTTTTCTCACAGAAATAAGTCTGGCTTGACGAACTGCAAAGATCACTAGACTTGAATATTGAAGGATTAACTGAATTTAAATTTAAGTTCTACAAAGGTAGGGCTTGTGTGTTTTTGGACGAAGCATTCATTGATTGAATCCATCAGTAACCATTTACTTAGTACCTGTTTTGGTTTTGCTCAAGTGTAAACTCCTTCAGGAAGCCTTCCTTGAATCTTTCAACTCCCCCTTGGCCCTTAGCCAAGACATTCGACTCATGCCTGTCTCCACCTGTGTTCTTTTCACAATGAATTGTAATTGCTGTTTTATTTCTCCATATTTCCCCCACTAGACTGCATGTTCTCTGAGACTAGTTGACATTTGTTTGCTGTGCTTTGGTGGCAGTGCCCATAATTTCCTTGGCGAATTACTTCTCCCTTTTTGTTCATGGCTCACAGGTGGCCCCAGCATTTGGTCCACTCCAAGCCATTTGGAGCGTCACATACTTATTGACAAAGTGATTGGTCTTGTCTTGTCAATGGGACCCTTCCAGAACCAATGAAACTGGGCCTCTTGTCATAACTCCAGAAATCTATAATCTCTCTCTGTTGGACTGGAAACAGGGAAGTTGTAGGCACAAAGCCGCCATGGAGTAATAGCCTTTTAAAGTGTAAAGCTGACACAGAAGAGAAGAGATGACAACTGAACAATAGAACACTGACATCTGTGTCGGAATTTTCATTAATATGTGCCAATAAATCCTGTTACTGATTAATCCCCTTTGAGTTGGGTTTCCATCCGCTGGAACTCACAAAGCCCTGACTGATAGCCAATGGCGTGTGTGCCTCTATCGTTAGCACGTGGAACGTCGCCTGGAACAGAATGCACACTCAAAACCTACATGTAAAGGAGATAAAACAGAATCAGGTGGAGACCTTGTCCACCGAGAGCTTCACAGCCAGGTGAAGAAGAGGAAAATAGTTTCGATAGAGATAGATGTAGAGCACCAGGGAATTATGGGGAGGCAAAGTGCTACCTCCACCAGCCAGAAGGGGGCAGAGGAAGCCTCCCAGAAGTGGTCTTGTTTGATTTGGACCTTGAAGAAGGAATTGAGGTTTTCCTGGAACAGCAGGTGGGAGACACCTTCCAGACACAGCCAAGAACATGTACAAAAGCTTACTTGACCTCTCTGAACTTGAGTATTCTTCTCTGTAAGTCAGAGATAGTGCACTTCACTGGCCCTCTGCGGTCATGGAGTCCCTGCTCTGTGTCAGGCACCATATGGGCAGTTTGGAATAAACAGATGATTAAGACACAGCGCCCATCCTCAAGGAGATCATGGCCTAGCCCCGTGGGCAAGATGCAAAAGTAAACATGCAACAATAAACATGCAGGAAA